TGTATAGCATATAGCTGTCTAACAGAAGTTAAATCCATGTCTCACTTATTCTGACAATGTACTTAACCCCAAATAAAAGAACCCAATAAAAAGAGTTGTTAAATAATAGTGAAGTCACGTTGTAATAACAATAACTCATCTCTCTCGGTTTTCGGAGTTTTCTTTGTGTGCTTTGCCAAATGCCACTGTGTCAAGTGTCCTAGTTGGGTTGCCGTACGGAGTTGTGCAATATGGCGGACCATCTCGCACATGCGCACTGCAGATAGGGCAGGGCGGCAGATCGGGTAGTGACATTTAGATTAGATTAGATCAGATTACTCTATTGTCATTACAAAATGCAAGCACAGTGTAACGAAATGAAGGAGGGTCTAACCAGAGTGCAAAACAGTCAGTTATATACACAATTATCAGAAGTATGTACAAAATAAATGATACAAAAATAAAGGTAAATAGATGGGAAATGTATAAATAAGAATAAATACACAGATAATAATAAATACAGTGAATACAGTACTGTATATAAAACAGTAATGTACAAGGATGATTGCGCTTCAGCACAGCACACGACAACAACAACTAGTATTAACTTCAGTGATGCTCAGCAGGAGGTTTCACTCCTCTGTTCAACAATGGCAAAATCCCCCAACAGTATTAGAGCTTACACATTGTGTTTCTTAGAGTTTAAACTGAATGCTGCTATGATTTTCCAGATGTATTTATGATATTAACAAACAGAGAGATTTGTTTAACATTTAACAATAACAGTGTACTGCAAATTTGAGCAATCTTTCACCCTCCGCATCATCATGATACATCAGCAGAGTTCAGTATCACCATCTATTTGACTTATAGCAAACAGATACAAGAGATTAAATAATATAAACATTACAGTTTTTGTTTTTTTCACACGTTTTGTCCTCAGAGAGACATGTCTGCTGCCAGCTGTCTGCTGACTGAAGATCAGTTTCTGTGCTCCATCTGTCTGGATGTGTTCACTGATCCAGTCGCCATACCATGTGGACACAACTTCTGTAAAGCCTGCATCTCTCAACACTGGGATACTAAAGTCCCCTATCAGTGTCCCAACTGTAAAAAGTTATTCCACACAAGGCCTGAGCTGCTGGTCAACACTTTCATCTCTGAGATGGCTGCTCAGTTCAGACAGTCAGCTCAACAGAAAGCCAGCAGCAGCAGCTCAGAGCAACAAGTTGTCAAACCAGTAGAAGTTCCCTGTGACGCCTGCACTGGAACCAGACTGAAGGCCCTGAAGTCCTGCCTGGTGTGTCTGGAGTCCTACTGTGAGACTCACCTGGAGCCTCATCTGACAAGGCCAGGCCTGAAGAAACATCAGCTGATCGACCCTGTGGAGAACCTGGAAGGCAGGATGTGTGTGAAGCACGATAAACTGCTGGAGCTGTTCTGTAAGACCGACCAGGTGTGTGTCTGCATGCTCTGCACTGTTTTAGACCACAAGACACATGATGTTGTTCCTCTGAAAGAAGGATATGAAGGAAAGAAGGCTGAGCTGGGGAAGACAGAGGCTGAAACTCAGCAGATGATCCAGAAGAGACGACTGAAGATTCAGGAGATGAATCGCTCAGTGGAGCTCAGTAAGGAAGGAGCAGACAGAGAGATAGCAGATGGTGTTCAGGTCTTCACCGCTCTGAAGGAGTCTGTTGAGAGAAGCCAGGCCGAGCTCATCGACACGATCAAAGAGAAGCAGAGAGAGACAGAGGAACAGGCTGAAGGCTTCATCAAAGAGCTGGAACAGGAAATCTCTGAGCTGAAGAAGAGAAGCTCTGAGGTGGAGCAGCTGTCACGCTCTGAAGACCAGCTCCACCTCCTCCAAAGCTTCACGTCCCTGAACGCTGCTCCACCCACCAAGAACTGGACAGAAGTCAGGGTCCGTCCACCTTCATATGAGGGGACTGTGAGGAGAGCTGTGACTCAGCTGGAGGAGACGCTCAGTAAACAGATGAAGAAGCTGCTCGAGCTGAAGAGGGTCCAGCAGTATGAGGTGGAGGTGACTCTTGATCCTGATACAGCACATCCTGATCTCATCCTGTCTGATGATGGAAAACAAGTTAAAGATGGTGATGTGAGGAAGAATCTCCCAGACAATCCAGAGAGATTTGATTATTGTGTCAGTGTTTTAGCAAAGCAGAGTTTCTCTTCAGGAAGATTTTATTACGAGGTTCAGGTTAAAGGGAAGACTGACTGGGATTTAGGAGTGGCCAGAGAGTCGATCAACAGGAAGGGACAGATCACAGCGTCTCCTCAGGATGGTAACTGGATGATAGCGTTGAGGAATGAAAATGAGTACATAGCTGGTGCTAGTCCTCCAGTCCGTCTCTCTCTGAAGTCTCAGCCTGAGAAGGTGGGGGTGTTTGTGGATTATGAGGAGGGTCTGGTCTCCTTTTATGATGTTGATGCTGCAGCTCTGATCTACTCCTTCACTGGCTGCTGCTTCAAAGAGAAACTCTACCCATTCTTTTGTCCCTGTAACAACAATGGTGGTAAAAACTCTGCCCCTCTGATCATCTCTCCTGTCAATCACACTGAGTAGAACAACCATTGGATTTTCTACAGAAAGAGTCACTCTCACTAAATGTAATACATGTATTCAACTGGGGAAGTACATTGTACACATTGTTAATGTTTCAGAATCTGATCACTTAAGGTTCACCTTGATGAGACGCATAAAAACACATCAAATACTGATGAGTATGTTCTAATGTAGTCTAGTTTATTCTACGGATTGCACTTCCTGCCGTCATGACTCGAAGTGATCAGAAAACTATTTACTCAGAAATAAACTTTTACCACTTCTTTATATGTCAGGGGGACAAGAAAAGTATTTATTGTCTCAGAATGGTGTGTTCAAAAAGTGTTTCATACTTGCACACATTACTAGTGGAAGTAATGCACTCTTTTTTCATCAGTAAAATACTGTATATATATTTTTTTTATAATTTTCAATTGAGGGGAAAATGATGGGTCTCTGGTGTGTTTTAAAGGGGAAGTTCAGGATTGATTATTGAATTATAGTATATTGGTACAAAATGTATTGACAGTTACTTGGAGAATCAACAATACCTGATCATTAAACATTAGGCTGCAGTGGTTTCACAAACCAGGGAAATTTAAATGTTACATCTCAGCTGTCTGTTGTGTTATGTTAATTGTATTTCGTCCACCTCTCTGCACACTGCTTGTAAAGTTTGAACAAAGCCTCAATGGATTAAAAAAAAAGGAACAAAGAATGTTATTTTTTGTGTTTTTTTAAATGTACTTACTGAAGTAGAGTTTTCACTAGTTCTCAACTTAGGGAAAGTAGCTTAAAAAAAATGTACTTAACTATTTCCATTTCTACTTAACTACATTTGTCTGATAGATTTGGTTCTTCTGAAACTTTATAAACTATTTAAAACCCTCTTGGATCAGCTGATCATAGATATTAAGATTGCTGTATATGTTTGTTAGAAATAAGGCCATCAGCTGGTTAGCTTAGCTTAGCATAAAGACTGGAAACAGGGGAAGACAAAGCCAGCCTGTCCAAAGGTAACAAAATTATGGATGTTGATGATCTATGGATTTTGTGTCAAAGCACTTAAGATATTCATTGCTATCAGGATGTTAAGAGCATTCCATGGAATATAACAAAAAGTGTATCTCGAGCCGGTTTCTCAAACTTACCTACCCTACCTTTAACACGTGAATACTGTGTAGTTTATTTTAACATAATAAACGTAAAATGTAAGACAAGCACACATTTCTGATATTCATTCATACTTTTAGCATTTGCTGACGGCCGATTAAAAGTGAGCAACGGGCCGCATGTGGCCCCCGGGTCGTAGTTTGGACACCCCTTGGTTTATGCATTGTCGAAACGCAATCAAAATATTTTAGATCAGAAATTAAAAAATAAAATGTTCTATTTAAAAGGGGACCTATCATGCAAAATGCACTTTGGTACGTCTTTTATACATGAATATGTGTCCCCGGTGTTCCAGGGAACTCACCAAGTGTCAGAAAACACAACCCTCTCTATTTTCCTCCATACCCAAATCTCTAAAAAAGGGGCTGCAACGGATCTGATAAAAACTGATCCAGATTTGAACACTGTCCTGACGTCAGGACGGTGGCACTACGGCTATTGGGCCAACTCCACCAATCAGGAGGAGACAGCCACGGCCATTGCCGTTAGAAAGCGCTGGAGACGCTGTAGTACATATGCCAGGCCAGTAGATGGTGCTGTTCTCACTGAATCTGCCCAGAGCTAGAAATTGTCAAATTGAGCAAAATGAGGCATGGCTAAAATGCATGATCTGTTTGGTATTTTGAAAAAAAAAAAAGTCTAAATATGCCTTATATAGGTATGGTCCTACACTATATTATTCAAATATAGCATGATAGGTCCACTTTAAGTCAAGATATGACAAAGCTCCTCATCTGCTCTTCAGCCCAGCTGCAGTCGGAGAGCGCGAGGAAGACGAGGATAGTGCACGTGAAGAGAGCCATGTTTCAGGTGAACAACACACACCTGAACCTGCTGCTTTTAAAGCCTGCAGTATATTTATTATATAACAGCTGAGGAAAACACACTCAGCGATAAGAGTCACTTTGGCGCGAAATGTGCTGGGGCAGCGAGAAGAAAACACTTCCTGCCACCCTGTGAGAGCGAGCACACTGTGTCTATAGAGCATGAGATTTCTTATGTTTCATCATGGAACACATGTTCATTTGTCTGGTTTTATTTCATTTTGAATTGGAATAATCTGTTGTATAATTACAGGAGTTTGTTTTGCTGGAAAAATAAAAATATCTGAGATTTGACCATTTTTTTCAATTTTTCATCATTTCAAATGCCAGATCTTTACAACAAAATCTTTGATTGGAGGTTTATTAAATATATATTCTAGTGTTTTTTTACTACCTAACTCTTACCTCAATCAAGTAAAGAGGACATATTATAACCACAGAAAGTAAACAAACAGCCGTGACATAATCAACATTTATTCAGACATCAATAAGAGCAAGACTGAGACAATAGAAATACAATCCGGTGCAGAAACACCTTCTGCAACCTTTGAATATTTTCACCATTTAAAAAACATAATAGTCAGTTAAGGCTACGCTGATAAAAACTTTAGGGGTCATTTTTACTAAATTATAATAATTAAGAGTCCAGTTTACGGAAGATCCTGAGGAGGAGGATGAGGAGGAGGATGAAGAGGACGAAGAGGAAGATCAGAAGGAGAGGTTGATGAGCGGAGCGTGGTTCTCCCTCTTGTCTTCAGGACTCCACTTGATGAGCGGAGAGGTCAGGTCGATCAGCTGCAGGAAAATAGAGATTTATATAAACACAGGTTGAGAGAAAACACTGTATTTAAAGATTGGCCTTTAAACTATGGAACAAAACTATGGAACAAAATGCCTCGAGTCATCAGGGACTCAGAACATATTTGTACAATTTAGCCTTTTAGGAAGCTAACTCCTGCTTTCTGCTGCCTTTTAACCTGTCACCTGACTTTGTTGTATTTGCACTATCCTCCTTTTAAAGCACGTCGTACCTATTATGTCTATTCTTTGCTATTTTTAAGTTTGTTTTATGTCTTGTACTTGTAACTGTATTCTATGTGATATATTCTGTGAGTATTCTAGGAGATGTCTACCGTCTACACTTTGAACTGCAAGTCCAATATATGCAAATAAAGATTATTATTATTATTATTATTATTATTATTATTAAAGCTCCCCTGAAGAGATATTTTAAAACATAAGAATAATTTGTGCCGGGTGTGTTTTTTTAAACCACACAGAAGTAACGCATAAAAAATGCTTTAAAATTACATTTACTTTGTCTTCCGACTCAAACGGTCGCTTCTTAGGTTATTTTATTTCAGTTTTTTTGTTTATTTATACAACTCAAATACATATATCTAAAAAACACAAACACAGCAGCCGAATCAGATTCTCTGGTTTGACTATTTATAGCTAGGTGTTTGCAGTGCTGCCCCTGGCCTAATTTGGGCTCCTATGCAGAAAAGCCCTAAATGTAATGCGTGTGTAATATTTTTACATTATAGGTTTTGTGTTTGTGGATATAATATTGTAAAGGGATGTGTCGGAGTAGCACTTAATCGAGTTGGGCTCATAGAGAGGACATGTACCTGCACATGTATCTTGCTTTGAGTTTGTTTCTTCATGGTTGAATGCACTTATTGGGAGTCTCTTTGGATAAAAGCGTCAGCTAAAGGTAATGTGTGAGTACCTGAGAGTTGGAGCAGGACTTGCTGCTGGTGCGGATCAGGTCGGGGGTGTTGCTCAGGTCGATGAGCATCTTCTCCTGAGGGAGCAGCGTCGGAACGGGGAGATCCAGGAGGAGAAACTGAGGAGAGAAACAAGAAGTGAAGTGAACTCTCAGGTCAAACAAGAAGATCTGTGAACTCTCAGACACTCATTGGTTGCCACACAAAAGGCAGAAATAAATACAGTTGAAAACAGAAGAAATGTTGAGTTATGTGAGGTGTGTGTGTTTTTATTTTTGCGTGACCTCTGACCTCCTGTGTCTTGTGGTGGCTCTCCTCTTTAGTTTCAGGTTCGATCAGGTTCCTGCTGGGCTCTGATTGGCTCTCAATCCGTGCTGCAGGAACTGTGCTCTCCGATTGGCTCTCACTCGCTGCTGCAGGATCTGTGCTCTCTGATTGGCTCTCAATCTGTGCTGCAGGAACTGTGCTCTGTGATTGGCTGTGACTCTGTGCTGCAGGAACTGTACACTCTGATTGGCCCTGACTCGGTGCTCCAGCCTCTGTGCTCTCTGATTGGTCGGAATGTGGTGAGCTGGTGGGCGGGGCAGCAGGAAGCTCCTCCTCCTCCAGGCAGAAAGGCTGGATGACAGGCACTTCAACAGGCTCCGCCTCCTGCATCTCCACGGGGGCGGGGCTACAAAAACCAAAACAAACAACCGAATGAGTCCGAAGATATTTAATGTTTCTATTTTCTCAAGAAGAAATTTGCCAATTCCACTTATTATAAGACATGATATACACTTTCTGTCTCTTAAATGGGCACACACAGCTAATCAACATGAATCAGAATCAAGTTTATTGCCAGGTACGTTAACACATACAAGGAATTTGCTTTGGTATCTGGTGGTGCGAACATAAACAATCTAAAACAAAAAAGAAGCCTAATGTGAACACCCGGAAGGTTTCTAATTTCTCTAATTTCCCCTCCTCGACTCCTCGGTCCTCCGGTTGTGACCCGGAAATGGATTTCAGCGCGCCATGTTGAAGGACATCTCATTTCTCTAAATGCACATCGAGGACCGAGGATCGAGGATCGAGGAGGCTCTCTGGAGGAGCTATGATCGAGGATACACTGATGGGTCCTCCGCGGATGTATTTCCGGCAACAGAGATGTTTAAAAGAGTCGTGGCACGGCCGGACTTATCTCAGCCAATGACAGCTCTGCATGCATCCCCTGGATATTATTTTATTAACTGCTTTCATCGCGACCCAATGTTTACAGTTGTGAGGTCCGTGCAGAAAGCAGAGCAGTGTGTATAATATATATCACTCTGCTAATGTAAACACTGACCATATTACGTCCAAAACAGTCGGGCATTGTTTCTGATAGCAACTTTCTGATAGGGCCGTGGGTCCACATTTCCGATATTACGTCATATCGGACGCAAATCTGGATCAGCTCCGTTGTAGCCCCATTTTTAGAGATTTGGGTACGGAGGAAAAGAGAGAGGGTTTTATTTTCTGATGCTGCGTGAGTTCCCTGACACACCGGGGACACATCAAAGACATCAACAAGTGCATTTTGCATGATAGGTCCCCTTTAATACTTGTAAATAAAACTTTTGGCCGTAATTTAAATTGAGTGAGATTCCCCATTGTAGCGACCAGAGAAGGGGGGGGGGGATATATCAAGACTCTGATCGTGTTACGTTATTATGAGAGTGCTCTCATACTTGTTTGATTCTGAAATTGTATATATTTATATAAATATGTGTGTGTCAGAGGTCGCGTTAACCGAATATTTTCCGTCTATGACAGATTTCTTTTAACAATGACGGAAAAATCTGAAAGCAGTCCGTCATTTTGACAGATTAGAACAAACTCGGAACAGCGCCAAAGTCTCCCCGCAGCGAGGCTCCGGTGTTATGCATGCCCGCCAAAAGGAAATGATACCGTTTCCAAACCTAACTTTGTCGTACAGATCATTGAAATGTCTGAGTTTTGGATTTACGCTGTGCGCGCTCCCGCGAGGTGCAGTGAGCATGCATAACACGGCGCTAAAAGTTCACGAGCGTGCGCCCCGCCCCCCCGTTGACAGTTCACTACCGTGCTCCTCCTCTCTCCTCGGTTCCCCTCCTCGACTCCTCCGCTCGCATCTCCTGTGGGCGGGACTAAGACACGAGGATAGGAGTCGAGGAGGGGAATTAGAGAAATGAGAAACCTTCCCTGTGTTGCCAAATCTCGCGAGAAGTTGTTGAGACATGTCATAAAATGCCATTTTAGTGTCAGAAGTAAGATGGTTCTTGTTTCTCTCGTGACAAATGGGTCCAATATTTACTTTAGTGAGTATCCTGAGAAATTGGGGAAACCAACATGACTTGTGCAGCATCTCATTTCTAAAATGTGTCCATTGAGACCTCTGTATGGGGTTTATAGCAGCGATCAGAATACCTGTATTAGTCCCACAGAGGGGACAGCAGAAAAGAGCCAAAGACAGCTTAATGTTGACGAAGAAGCATGCGTACAAAAAAACGTAAAGATAAAAAAATATAAGAAAATAAGAATTTACAAAATACACATCCTGTAACAGTTCTGAGGATTTAGCAGCCAGGTATATATTGCACAGTTATTAACGGCATATATATATATATATATATATAACAAGGGGTGTTCCTATTGGTCAACGGCAGCCTTACCAGCAGCTCCTGTCCCTCCTGGTGGAGGAGGGTGTGTGGGCGGGGTCAGAGTCTGGGTCAGAGCCGGGGTTGGACGGCGGTCTGCTGGCCCGGCTCTTGGTGGTGGGCGTAGCGACGGGGATGGAGGACATCCTGCGCTTCACGGGGGTTGGGAGGGCAGAGGGACGTTGAGGTTTCACCTGCAGTGACCGGACAGCAGGGGGCGTCAGAGGGCCGGAGGACTTCTGGAGACTACAGGAGAAGGAGGAGAGGGAAATGATTAATGATCTGCCCAAGGTCATACCATGGATGTATAATAAGTACTGGATACAGCGTGGGAGGCGGGGCCTCATTCATTCCTATGAGAGTTGCTCATTCGCGCATGATGATAAAATGGCCCAACTTTTGAGAGAGCGAAACGTCACAGATTACCCGGCATGCCTGAGAAGTACCCGTATGTGCGCTCATAGCGCATGCGCAACTTTAACCATGCCCCCCAAAATGCTCGTTCACATCAAGCACGTCAATTTGCGTACACGTAACAGCACCGCACGTTCATGACAGCATGGTAATGGTGGTAATTTGTTATTATGATAGATTTGATATTAACGAGGCGGCAGTTAGCGGTTAGCTAGTAATTATGCTAATTTACACATCAATCGTTATGTACTTTTATATTACACTGTAACAGGATCTAGTGATATCCAAGCAACAGAGCTTCATTTAGCATGAAAGAATTATTGCACTGTATATATATGTATATATATATATATATATATATATGTATATATATACAGTGCAATAAGCTTCTTAGTGCAATAAGAAGCTACAGGGACGTTAATCTACGTCGGTAATATTAACTTTATTTAATACAACATTTACGGTACAAGATTTAATCATACAGCCCATGTAGTATAATATTTTACAAATGATGAATTACAGCAAACATGTGCAATATATCCATTATTACAGCTCCGTGGGCTGGCAGTAAGGCGATATGGGTCCGTTCTTATTGTGCATCCATGGGTAAAGATAAACGCATGTAGTGCTGAACACGTAACATGAACGTGCCGGGCGGCGCGGTCCCGTGGGTTAGATGCGCGTTCATAATGCAGAGGGAAATAACTCACAGAATAACGTTATTAGCACATGTTTACAACTTGAGGAACGAATGTTTTTAATAAGGGCTATTCAAGTGTTCATACTGGGTAGTTTATTTAGTTTAAAAAAAATTATCCAACGATTTACAGACCACTCTTTCCCCATGTAAGTCAATGGGAAAAAGTGTTTCTGGGCCTGGCAACCAAAAGGAAGTGTAGTACCGCCGTTTGGCCAGCACGAATATTTTCATCTGAGTCCGGCGCACTTCCTGGGGGCTTGGGTCATACTCAAATGTAAGACTTTTTATTTACTAGCTGGGTGTTCTCCGATAAGGGGCCGGGGGAAACAAAGTTAGTGATTACTGGTTCCATGTTGATTTATTTCAATACAAATTGTTGGGGGGAACTGAAAGGCTCTTAACGTACTGGTTACTTTGCAGCCCGGACGTTTCCCCCAAAACACATTTAGACGCGATCGCAACACAGAAGTACATTTCAAATCTGATTATTTTTAAAGAGGACCTATCATGGAAAATGCACTTGTTGATATCTTTTATACATAAACATGTGTCCCCGGTGTGTCGGGGAACTCATGCAGTGTCAGAAAATAAAACCCTCTCTCTTTTCCTCCGTACCCAAATCTCTAAAAACGGGGCTACAACGGAGCTGATCCAGATTTGCGTCCGATATGACGTAATATCGGAAATGTGAAACTACTTCAGATCTAGACTCAGCAGAGTAACAGGACAGATGATGGTAAAAGCTGCTCTTTTAAAAAGGAGTATTTAGCGCCACCTACCTGTCCACGCTGCTCACTGACGTCAGCGCCTTTGGCTTCAACATCTTTGAGACCTCTGGAGCTAAAACAAGAACACAATGAGATCGTGAAACAGAATAAAGACTTTGTTTTATTTGGTGTGAACAAAGACATTTAAATTCAAGCCGATTATTTCTAAAAGGTAAGGACCAGAACTGTTACTCCTAAACTTTCTAAAGTCAAACATTAAGTGTGTCTTCATTTACCACAGGGAGGTTCTGTGGCGGTATAACAGAAAGGGCTGCAGCTTTGAATTCTGCATTTGGTCTCATGCAGTCATTTTGATTACTTTATTACAGTCCTGTTGAATGTCAAAACATACAAGAAGAGGGAATGGAAAATGAAATAGGTCTATATATCTGATAAATAATGTGTCAAAGCGTAGCATCAAGTCTGCTCTTGGTGATTAGCTCGCTTTGAAGCGGCCCTACTCTGCTTTTTGGGAGTTTGCTCTTTCCAGTAGTTTGTTATACAGGTTTTTAGTCTGCTAAAAGGCTAGAATCCCTGTGTTCTAGGGCTGTGCAATTAATCGTATTTTAAATTGCAATCACGATTTTGGCCTGCCACAATTACGAAAACAACATAATCGAAAAAAACAATTATTTAGCTTTGCTAGGTTGTGACCGTGCACTGCAACATATTTGATCTAATTAATTTTGGTCTCATTTATTTGTATTTATCATATTTATATATGTTTAGTAGCTTGTGGAAGTGCGCTCCAAAATATTTGTTGATCTTGTTTATTGGTATTTATTATTTTGATATTATTTATTTAAATGTATCATTTATTTTTGTATTGGTTTTTCAGTTGAATTATACGTTCAGGGTAATCAACAGTTAAAAAGATACTGTTCAAATTATTATTTGTATTTGTTTTAAAGTTCAATAAATGGATGTTTTCAAAGTCAATGAATAATCGTATTTAATAATCGTGATATCAATTATTGACCAAAATAATCGTGATTATGATTTTTGCCATAATCGCACAGCCCTAGTGTGTTCCCTCCAGAGGGAGTTTCAATCAGAGCAAACTGGGCTCTGGTTTCAGACAGAGGGTGAAAAGAGGTGCTGCATCACAGGCAGAATGAGAAACATAAACATACATACAAACATATTGAAGTGACTGTTTTTTCTATATATTGATTGTTGTGCTTTTATGTATGTCTTAATGTGTGCATATGTATAAATGTGTCTTGATTGTGTGTATCAAAAGGATATACCCAGGGTTCGAGTTATAAACTGAGCTCTATGGGGGTCTTTAAAACTAGCGCATGCGCGCGTGCGTGCAGGCGCGCACGCACAGTCACAGGCATAGATTGCGCAATAATGTATTGCGCACCTTGGAGGTGCAGACTCCAACTGATGGTATATATTGCACACCCTTGTGAGTATACAATTAGTGTCTGATGTGTTAGGGCTTCAAAGATAATTACAAAATCACAAAAACTCAGGAACTCTGTACTTGTGGAGCGTCACAAACAGCGCCTCCGTTTATTACGTTTTACTCTCTCCACAACTTCAGGACAGACTGCGCATGCTCAAACACATGAACTCGTACACAATCAATAACAACGTAAGAGCTATAAAGAAAATACAAAAATTAGCTCTCACAGATAAAACGAGAGAGAGAGAGACTGACTTCACTGCTAATTACGTGGTCAAACAAACAAACACACACACACACACACACACACACACACACACACACACACACACACACAGACAGACACAGACACACACACGCCCATACCTTTACGCAGATAAAATAGCCCAAAGTGGTCTGTTTTCAGCAGGCTGTGGTCGCGGTCCTGGAACCCATGATGTGGAAGTCCGATGTCCTTTATTTATCCACGATTGGATGAATGGGAAAGGGTCAAATTTGTTGATAGGAGGCCCATTTAAATCCACAAACAACAATGCGTTGAGGCTTCTGGCTCGCAGCCGGTTCCTGGTCTTACAGTCGGTGTCATTGCATGCAGAAAAGCCCCTCTCGCACTCTGCAGATGTCGGAAGAACAGTGTTGCTCGCCACTATCAGTCTTTTCAAGGTTTTACCCTGATGTTCCTTGCCTTGTTGTTGTAGTTTCCAGTCTCTGAACTCACTGACAGCTTCAGTTGCGGACTCTCCGAGAAGTTTAGCAAACTTCCCCACCTCCCTTTCTCCAAACAGAACAAGCTCTGTCCTCTCTTTTGGCCAGAAGTGCTGATCCATAGGCTTCAACATAGTTACCAGCTCACTATCGGGAAGACGCCTGGTGAGATTATCAATGATTGACTGGTAAAATTGGGACTTCTTTACTTTAGGTTGAGTTTCTCTAATATCAACCCCTTTGAACTGGCCGCTTGTTATGCCCGCTTTGACTTTTAGTTCAGTTTTCCCATCGTTGTCCTTCGTGGCAGAGAGCACCTCGATCGTCTGATGTATGTAGCGGCTTGCATCAACCAGGGACGTGTCGCGTTTCTGTAGTTTCAGAGAGAGACTTTGTAGTTCACGTAACACGTCTTTCATTGTCGCTAAATCAGTGAGGAATCCAGTGGATGTCAGATGCTTTAGTAAACCAGCGTACTTGGCTTTCTCTGCACCAGAACGTGAGCCATCTTCACTCGCAGATTTAAAGTGATGTGCTAACACTGGGAAGTCCTTCAGCACAGCTTTGACAGTGTTGTAACTGCTGGAAACCCATCTAATTGTAAAGACTTGTCCGATTTTCAGAATCTGCATGTTCAGTTCCGCAGCCGCTTCCTCTAACTCCCTGGCGTTTTTCGTGGACTGGTGGTAAAGAGAATAGAGTTTAGCGAGGAAAAACTCTAAATGATTACAGCCTGCCACAGCCTTCAATGAATCATTCACCGCTAATTCCAAACGATGAGCTAGACAATGAACTGCCTGAAGACGAGGGAAATCCTTTTTCAGCCTGGCTATGAGTCCAGTCTGTCTCCCGGTTAGCACGGCAGCACCGTCTGTGGCTATGCTAATTAGGTTTTTACGAAGAAACTCTTCATCCATTCCCCCCGCCTGGAGGCTGTTTTTCAGTGCGCTACACAGCGACTCTGCATCAGTGCCCTGGTCCAGTTCAACAATGTCAAAATACACATTGTCCAATTCTCCATTCCCAGTGACATCGCACCTGACATAAATAATCATGTATGCGCGTCCATGAATTGTGCTTTCGTCTAGTGTTAGACTAATACGGGAATCAAGTGATTTGATATTAGAAATAAATGTCTTTTTCATCTCTTGTGCAATGTGCTCTACAATCTGGGCACATGAATGATCGGATCTGTGAGCAGGGCCGACTGTCGCACCATTCATTTCATTAAGTTGCATAATGGGATTCAATTTTGTATAAGGCAACCTTTCTTTAGCGACAGTATAGGCTGCCCTGAACGAACTAGCTGTCTCATTAAACATGCTGGAGCTGAGTTCTGCAACTTTCTTCGGAAGCACTTCTTTTAGTTTGAGCTCCGCTATTTCAACAGCTCGTTTATGAGCAATAGAGTCGCGGTGTATGTAAAAATTTTTTCGCAACTGCTTCTGCACAGGGCTACTCACAGTCCCATTGATCCAGGCATCCGCCAAATGCGTTCCATATTTTTTCTCCGAAAGTAAGAGAGTCTTGGTTTCCTTACAGACGAGGCATCCAAGACCACCCTCCTTTGAAAACAGCCAGGGGTTTCTTTCTTTCCAGGATCTCCACTGATTGTGTCCCCAGTTAAGTGGCGGTCCTTCTGTAGCAGTACCTCCTGCCTCCTCATACCGCTCTGCTTCGGAACTTTCTACGTGTGTGCTGGTGGTCCCACATTCAACAGCATCAGGTCCGCTAGCAAAGACAGCATCCTCCGTAGCAGCAAGGTTAGTACTAGTTGTCACGCTAGCAGGTGCATTTTGGTTGTCAAAAGCTGTTTTTTGTTTCTTTGTGAGAAAACCAAAACTAGCCAGGCTTGTAGACCCCGTCGGCGGCAGTGGCCTTTTTTTGGGCGGCATGCTAATCGTCTGCTAGCCTACGGTACTCATAGTATGTATGTGTGTATCCTGTCAATATATTTGAATGTCTGTTGATATAACGGTTCATTCTTCGGGCGCGCGCAGCACGTTCACAGCCTCACAGGCATAGATTGCGCAATATTTTATTGCGCACCTTAGAGGTGAAGTGCAGGCATATTGTCATTCAAGAGAGAATACGATGCGTAGTTCTTTTGGAAAACGTTGTTTTGTTTGCCTATTTACCTCGTTAACGTAAATAATACTCATTACATTGAAAAATGCATTATTTGTGATCAAAATAATGGTTGTTGGTAATGTATATTAGCGACCCCCACAGATGTTAAATTTACTGGGTCCGTGGGAGCTCAGGCCCCTCCTTATGGGAGCTCAGCTCCCATTGGCTCCCACGTAACTCGAACCCTGGATATACATATTTTTATATATATTTGTATTCAGGATTGTGGGAAACGGTATTTTGATCTCTCCGTCTGTACACACAAACTGAAAGATAGACAATAAAGTCGACTTTGACTGATGCTCCTATTAAAACTGCTCTCACCGTCTGCATTGCGGACTCCTCTGAATCCTCCGCCTGGTGTCAGAAGGACGAGCGCCTCAGGTCTGGATCTGCTCCTCAGAGCGCTCAGAGGCCGGGTGCTCTTCTCCAACCCTCTCTTAACGGGGTCAGCTGCACCGGCGTGGAATCGGACCTCTTCAGCGGCGTGGATCTGACCACTTTGACGCGCTCCACCTCGGACAGCTTCCTGTTCTGCAGAGACATCGAGCGGCGGTCAGCGATGGTGGAGGAAGATGTTGGCTCCGTGTTGATGGTGGAGCGACGAGGGCGGCTCTGATTGGCCGGTCTGCTGGGGGCGGGGCCGCTCAGAGAGGAGTTCAGTCTACCTGAGAGGAGACACAACAACAGGGTTACAGTCGGATAGTATTTTTCCTCGCAGGAAGGTTTCTAACAGAGAGAAATGAACCTGAAATGGCAGCCATGATAAGAGCTGTTCGGTCTCTCTAACCGATACGGAAAGAGCTTCAGGGTATATGCAGGAATCCTGAAGACGAATGTAAAACCTTTTAAGACCTTTTTTAAGACCCTTTCCATACATTTTAAGACCTCATCGCCACTTCGAGTTTTAACCGGTTACATTGGCGACACACTTTACCTCACATTCACTATATACAGTATTGATTGTCCTTCCTCCTTATCTTCCAACCATTTGGACGCAAACTTGCATTTCCCCATAACGATGTTGCTTAGCAACCGGCGTAAACGGACCTTCGCGCGCTATCAAGCAGTGAGCGTGAGATGTCCTGTTCAGATGACGTCACATCCAACGGGATGCCATAAATAAACTACACAGAATCACACTACACACCTACGCAATGATTACATTCAGGCACACTGTAGAATACAACCTCTTTGGACCATTGATATACTTATTGAAAACAAGCTACAAAATGTAATACCTTGGAAAATGCAGTTTAATACTTTTTAATAGCCTTCATTTTCGCTAAATTGATTCATCAACTTTTAATACTTTTTAAGACCCCGCGGACACCCTGAGCTTCAACATTTTCTTTTTTAAATACTTTGACAGACAAATAAAGATCGTATAAGCCACTGTGCTTATTAAGCATTTTACAACTTATTCCATAACTTGCTTAAGTGCTTATATGTTTTTGGGAACTGTCAAATCTTGATCAAATTAGGTCATTTAAAGAGCATTTCATGGTGTTTCCCAGGCTTTAATTAACGCAACATGTTTGAATTGAAGTAGTGAAAGTATTATTTATACAAACAGTTTCATACTATCATACTAATCGGGATTCATGTTGATTAATACGAGTGGACAAGAGGGTAAGCAACGTTTCCTTTTACATTATTTCAATTCCAACCTTGGAAAAGAAGACCTTTATTTGTCTATGTTTATAAAGCCAGCAGGAAAGACCGTGATAAGAGAGCATAGGGGAAAGTATTTAGAAACTCTGTTGTTAGTCCATCTTTGAAAAATGGTTGTTTCCTCACCCAGACGCACGTCACTTTTCATCTGCTGCTGCTTTACAGGAGTGAGACCGTATTTTCTTCTCATTCTCATTAGCTTGAGTTTCATTTTCCTAAAGGAAACCATCAAAGGGTGTAGTTTTTTCTAAACCAAGAAATATGTTGTAATGTAATGTTTTCCTCCCATCTCCCATTATCAGTGCAGTCTCTTTCCCTAAAGGCCCCTACACACCAATCTGACACCAAAGAACACGACTGTTGTGTCGCCTCACGTCTCCTGCGTCTTGGCCAACAGTCGCACTGGAACACACCGCAAAGACTTCAGCCGACGGCCAAGCAGCACGTACGAACTGCGCATGCGTGAGTGGCAATAACTCTCCTTACCAGCAGGCGGCGGTAGTGTGTATTCGTCATTCAAAAGAGGCAACAACCGGAAGACAGACTGCGTGATACACCGAGAGAAGAAGAACAGACTGCATGATATAAACAAACAACAAATATAGCGTGTGCGTTCCATTTTCACTCTACAGCGAGAAGCTCATGGGGCTTTCCCGAACCTGTGTCGAGAGCTGGAGTTAAATGAAATCTCAGATTTGCCTTCTTAATCGTTTGTTTGGGTCCCTCACTTCCGTTTCGCTTCTCATGCACTGATTCGCTAGCTGAACAGCCAATCAGAGTGATTTCTGTAGCCGACGGCCTTTTGCCGACAGCCTCCCGATTCAACATGTCGAATCCGCGGCGGAAGGTGTCGGCACGGCCGAAAAGACACGACGGGGCGGGACACAACAATCTGAGTAGGGCGACAGGACGCTCATCGATGGCCAGACATCTATCGACGGCAAAAATCGGCTTGGTGTGTAAGGAGCTTTAGTCCTGATGAATTATCTTTCACGTTTTTCCCTTAACCCCATGGCATTTTTTTACTTAGTTTAAGGAAAAGTGGTCAGATTTTGTTGCCAATGGTGTAGTTTTGTAAGTTCCTCACACAGCATGGATACTCTTTACATTATGTCAGCGTACCTTTGGCTGGGGACAGAGAGATGCTGGAGTTGAAGCTGGACACTGAGGACGAGGAAGGCAAGGCAAGGCAAGGCAAGGCAAGGCAAGGCAAGGCAAGTTTATTTATATAGCACCTTTCAACACAAGGCAATTCAAAGTGCTTTACAAAAATGGAAGACATTATGAAAATGGCATTTAAAATCAGTCATTAAAAAGAAAAGATAATAAAATAAACATTAAAAGAAAAAATACATGGATAAAAGTTAAAAGTTACAGTGCAGTTTAAGATGTGAATAGTTCAATTAAAAGCAGCGGCAAAAAGAAAAGTCTTCAGCCTGGATTTAAAAGTAGTAAGAGTTGCAGTGGACCTGCAGGTTTCTGGGAGTTTGTTCCAGATACTTGGAGCATAATAACTGAACGCTGCTTTACCATGTTTAGTTCTGACTCTGGGGACAGAAAGCTGACCAGTCCCTGAAGACCTGAGAGATCTGGATGGTTCATAATTTAGCAGTAGATCAGAAATGTATTTTGGGCCTAAACCATTCAAAGCTTTATAAACCAGCAGCAGTATTTTGAAATCTATTCTTTGACACACAGGAAGCCAGTGTAAGGACTTCAGAACAGGAGTGATGTGATCCACTTTCTTAGTGTTAGTGAGGACTCAAGCAGCGGCGTTCTGAATTAGCTGCAGCTTTCTAATAGATTTTTTAGTGAGGCCTGTAAAGACACCATTACAGTAGTCCAGTCTACTGAAGATAAAAGCATGGACAAGTTTTTCCAAATCCTGCTGTGACATTAGTCTTTTAATCCTAGATATATTCTTTAGGTGATAGTAGGCTGATTTAGTAACTGTTTTAATGTGACTGTTGAAACTCAGGTCAGAGTCCATGACTACACCTAGATTTCTGGCTTCATCTGTTGTTTTGAACATTGCAGACTGAAGCTCAGCGCTAACTTTTATACGTTCTGCCTTGGCTCCAAAAACCATTACCTCAGTTTTATCTTTGTTTAATTGGAGAAAGTTCTGACACATCCAGTCATTGATTTGTTCAATGCACTTACTCAGTGTTTGAATTGGAGCATAATCTCCTGGTGAAATTGTTACGTAAATTTGTGTGTCATCCGCATAGCTATGGTAACTTATTTTGTTGTTTTTCATTATCTGAGCCAGTGGTAGCATGTAGATGTTAAAGAGAAGAGGCCCCAAGATGGAGCCTTGAGGTACCTCACATGTCATATTTGTCAACTCAGATGTGTATTTACCTATAGAAACAAAGTTTTGTCTGTCCTTTAAGTAGGACTCAAACCAATTTAGAACTGTTGCCGAAAGTCCCAACCAGTTTTCTAGTCGGTCTAGTAATATGTTGTGGTCAACAGTGTCAAACGCAGCACTGAGATCTAATAATACTAACACTGAAGTTCTGCCACTGTCTGTGTTTAAGTGGATGTCATTGAAGACCTTTACAAGAGCAGTCTCAGTGCTGTGGTTTGGACGAAATCCTGACTGGAACACATCCAAAGAGTTATTTAAATGCAAGAAGTTACTCAACTGTTGAAATACAACTTTTTCAATGATTTTACCTAGAAATGGCAGGTTTGATATTGGCCTGTAATTGTTCATTGCTGAAGCATCTAGATTATTCTTTTTTAAGAGCGGTTTAATGACTGCAGTTTTCAGGGCCTCTGGAAAAATACCTGAGTGAAGAGATGTGTTTACTATATGAAGTAGATCTGAGGCCATGCAAGGAAAAACATCTTTGAAAAATCCTGTTGGAATAATATCAAGGCAGCAGGAGGAGGATTTCAGAAGTTGAATAATGTCCTCTAAGTTTTTACCATTAATCTGATGGAATTGTGTCATGGTGTTTGAATTGATATTAGGTGGACATAGGGACAACACATTTCCTGTACCTGATGCAGAGGCACTGACTGCTTGTCTAATTTTCTGAATTTTGTCAGTGAAGAAGGAGGCAAAATCATTGCACGCCCTGGTGGATAGAAATTCAGAGGCTACTGACACTGGGGGGTTTGTTAGTCTGTCGACGGTAGCAAACAAGGCACGTGCGTTGTTTTTGTTTTTGGTTATGATGTCAGAGAAGAAAGACTGTCGTGCGTTTTTCAATTCCAAATTATAAAGGCCAAGTCTCTCTTTATAGATTTCAAAGTGAACCTGGAGATTTGTTTTTCGCCATCTACGTTCAGCTTTTCGACACTCTCTTTTTTCTGTTCTCACGGTCATGGCCTTTCTCCATGGAGATATGTTCTTGCTAATCACTTCCTTTACCTTAGTTGGAGCAATGGTATCTATAACATTTTACATTTTTTAATTAAAATGATCTACTAGCTCATTTACTGAGATGTTAACAGGGGCAAGTGTGGATGAAAAATTATGAGTAAACATTTCCCTAGTATTTTCAGTTAAATATCGCTTTGTGGTTACCTCTTTCTGAACATTTTTGTGAACAGAAATAGAGCTCTCAAAGAAAACACAGGAATGGTCAGAGAGTGCAACATCAGTCACCACAACCTTTGAGATATTCAGACCCTTTGAGATAATTAAGTCCAGAGTGTGCCCCTTATTGTGCGTGGGCTCCGCCACATGCTGAGTCAGTCCATAGTTATCAAGAACACAAAACAGTTTGTTAGCCCCTCTGTCCTGGGGGTTGTCAACATGGATGTTAAAATCACCAACAATGACTAGACGGTCAAAGTCAATACACACTATAGACAGCAGTTCAGTAAAATCATCAAAAAAGCTTGCACAGTATTTGGGTGGTCTATAGATATTTAGGAACAGAGCTCGAGAGGAGCATTTCAGCTGAAGGGCCACATATTCAAAAGAAGCAAAGTCCCCATAAGATGTCTTCCTGCATTGAATGGCATCATTGAACAAAATAGCAACTCCACCCCCTTTCTTATGCATTCTTTCCTGACTCATAAAACTGAAGTTGGGAGGGGTTGATTCGATAAGAACAGCTGCACTGTTATTTTGTTCAATCCAAGTTTCCGTTAAAAACATAAAATCCAGATTGTGCTCAGTGATAAAATCATTGATTAAAAATGTTTTTCCTGCCAAAGACCTGACATTTAATAAAGCTAGTTTAAGTTTGTTAAATACACTATCAGTAAAAACATTTGTGACAAGCTGTGGCTGACATGGAATCACTGCTAAATTTGATAACCTCACACAAACGTTTGAGCACTTCCTGTTTCTAAGCTGATTTACCGCTCTTAATCTATTACCTATCAACACAGATATCGGCAAAGCTACTGGCAGGCAGGGCCCCGGCATGTGCTGGAAAGAGTTGAGAGTGCCATATGCCCTAGGAAGAGGATGTGTTGTTCCTCTCCGTCACCCTCCTCCTCTGAAGAGGTGGAGCTTTCACACCTGACATGTTCCTCATAGCACTCTAACGGACCAAAACATGAAACATAAAGTAAGTTAATAATAAGATAATATCAGTTTCATTTAGTGTGTTGGTCTGCAGGTGGAGCTGTGTGACTAGAAATCAGTATCAAGGTCAATTTATATACCCTTTATTTAACCAGGTAAAAGTCTTTTTCAAGAGTGACCTGGCCAAGAGGGCAGCATGAACAAAGTTACAACAAATGAACACAAAACAAAACACAGGCAGAGGAATACAGCGGTCGTAAAACACAAACGAAATGGCACATTAACCAGTCAATACGCAAAATCAAATAAACTATTATAAAACATAAAAACTATTTTAAAACGACTTAAATTATGGGATAAAAGAGCAATCACATCGACCAATGGATTCTTGTTCTCTGTCCTTTCAGATGGACTTGAATCCCCCCCAAAGTGATCAAATCAATGTATCAAGTATGTGTACGCTTGCAAGGGATTTGACTTGTTTCTCTCCCCCTGTTGTAGACCACTTTTGAACAGGTGTGTTACCTTAGTGGGCGGAGCCAGCATGCGTTTCCCCAGAAGGCTGAAGTTGAAGGAGGAGTCGCTGATGTCGGACGCCACGCTCGCCGAATCAGAGAGCAGATCCTCGCTTGACCCCGCCCTGCTGGAGGGGCGAGACGACGGACTGCGCTTCCAACCCCCCACCGCCTGAAAGACGACAAAAAGAGACACAAATCCGTGGTTTCTACCAACAACAACAACTCTTTGAAACCAAGAAATACAGCAGTACAAATATACATCTCCTATAAAAAGGCAGCAAATTGTGGATGTTCAGTTGTTCTACAGATGAAACAAATAGTAACTAATTTATATGACCACTTTTTGTATTAGATTCTAATTTAATCTGGCATTATTTAATGATAACATAGTAAGGAATCAAAATAGCTCAACCTTTCAAACTGTCAACCAATGGTGACATACCTTCACCTGTTAGCGACACAATGCTTGAATAGCACGTTCTCTAACAGGGAGTTGGCTCAAGGAATAAGAGGTTAAAATAAGGGCAGTGTCTGCAAGATTCAATACAACCTGTCTGCACTGAGTAAACTAAAATATGCTATGAGACAGTGAACAAATGTGCAATCTCATAGTACGTCCCAACACACACAATATGTCTAAGAATACTTCAGTTGTACTGTGTGAATGAGGTCAAAGGTTATATTTCAATGTGTGTTCATTGAATTATACTGGAAGTAGTGTATTAGGTTGTTTTCTGTGCTGAATGACAAACTAATTGACTTAACAACTGAGTAGAAGTACCAGAGTGTAGGAATACTCTGTTACTGTACAGTAAAAGTCCTGCATTCAAAATGTTACTCAAGTAAAAGTAGAAAAGTATCAGCATCAAAATATAGTTAAAGTACCAAAACATTGGTCCATTTCAGAACAATAGATATGTTTTTATAATGATTGATCATTAAAGTGTTATTAAAGCTGGTAAAGGCGCAGCTAGTTTCAATGACTTTGCAGGGTAGCTTGTGAATTTACTCCAGGTGGAACTAAAGTCTGATTTAACACTTGATTATATTTCACATCGTTCATCCAGATCTGTAAAGTAACTAAAGGTATTAAATACATGTAGTGGAGTGAAAGTACAAAGTAGCAAAAAATGGCACTTAAGTACAGACCCATTTTCAAACAGGAAGTGTCTCACCAGCTGCTCTTAAACAGGGACCATAACACAGCTTTGTGAAATATAGCTATAAATCTCCAGATGTGTAAAGAGAAGTCCTTTATGTATTGAGAAAATATTCCTACTTATGCTCAATACACAATTTGAAAAGCCTCTTGGATCAGCTGTAAAATGCATTGTTACAAAGTTAAATAACAAGCCTCAATAGTTCTTCTTCCACTTCCTCTTTGCAAACTGCCACTGAGAGGTGGGACCACACTGTCAGAGAAGAGTTTCCATTTCCCAGAAATCAAAGTTGAAGTTTGTCTGAGCGACAGCAGAGCAGCAGCCGAGACAAGTCTCTGTTTCTCTGAAGAAACACTCAACTGAATCCAGAAGCTTTTTATCAACAACACAGCAGGACTCTGCAAACACTGGTGAGTACACTACAGACACATCACTTACTAAATATTTAGTCAAAGTTGGATTAAAATCAGAATCTGACTGTATTACATCAGTTTACCATATAAAGAATATTATACAATATAAATGTGTCAGTTAAGATAAAAACCTCAACATTTACATTAGCAACAGCCAACAATAAAACTACAATGTAAACTCTAGGTTAGAGCATACAGTCAAAGCTAGCATTAGCTTATGCTAATTTTCATATTTCCTGTATTTGAAAACATCTTTATAATCGACTCTATTAAACAAAGTAGAATCTAAATATTAGATGTGTTCTGGACTGTCCAAAGCAGGGGATCTGGTGTTGTGTTAAAAGTGTTGCTTATAAAAAGGCATGACAATTAGATATTTCATTTTATATAATTTGTACACACTGTGGTAAGTAGCCTTGAGCTTTGAACCTGTTTCTGTAGTAACTGCTGTCTGCCTTTTGAAGCTGATAATGTTTACTGTTTTTTACTAGTATTAACTTCAGTGATGCTCAGCAGGAGGTTTCACTCCTCTGTTCAACAACGTGTTTAGTGTCACTACCCGATCTGCAGCCCTACCCTATCTGCAGTGCACATGTGCGAGATGGTCCGCCATATTTGACAACTACATACGGCAACTCTAATAGGACACTTGACACAGTGGCTTTTGGCAAAGCAGAAAAAGAACCGAGAGATGAGTTATTGTTATTACAACGTGACTTCACTATTATTTAAAAACTCTTTTTATTGGGTTCTTTTATTTGGGGTTAAGTACATTGTCAGAATAAGTGAGAAATGGATTTAACTTCTGTTAGACAGCTATCATACTGTAGCGACCCTGCATAGGGTGCTGGGTGTGTCACTCAAGCGTCCCCCGTCTCTCTGCCAATCACGGAGCTGCACAGTAATGCTGGTCGGTGTGCGGGCCTGTGGTTGGGGGAGCAGAGGGGGGAGGGCTGGGGTGTCGTGACGTTGACCCTGTTTTGTGTCTGGGAGTGAGGGAGTAGAGCTCAGAGTGTTGATGAACCTGCAACCTGTAACATGTAACCTGTGACCGTGTGCGAACAAAGGAGCTATTAAACACCAAGAACTTGAAGCCTATTTCCGACTCCCTTTGTCGAACGTTACATTGGTGTCAGAAGTGACTTTTTCGAACGAAGGACGTCTATCCTGACGGGAGCTCGTAACTGCGTCACGGAGTTAGCCGGTGAGCTAGCGGAGATGGATGAGTTCGGCAGGATGGGAGTGAAGCAAGAAAATAGTGACGGAGAGGAGGATGGAGCATGCGGGTGGTCGAAGGACATGAGTAGGGAGTTCAAGAGTGCACGGGAGGCGAGAGAGCGCCTGAGAGAGTCGCGGGGATGACTCCTTCCTCAGCGGCGTTTCGCGCCATTGACATTCTGGATGTAAACAACAATGGCGGCGCCCAGCAAACAGTAGCAGCCGCCGCGTCCGTGAAAACACCCAAATAGTCGGGTAGGTCAGACTGGGAGGCTTTCCATGCCCAATTTGAACTGCTAGCACATGCCGGGGAGTGGTCAATAGAGACTAAAGCGCTACAGTTAGCTTTGTGCCTCACAGACGAGGCTCTTTCATGCCTGCTACTACTTAGCCCTGAGGACCGACACAGCTATGAAGCGTTAGCGGGGGCTTTGAAGAGGCGGTTTGGACAGTGTTTCCCGTCAGAGCTGCTCCGGAATGAAATAAATAACCGCTGTAGGAAGTCTGGGGAGACGCTGCGGGCGTTGGCTAACGACGTGGAAAGCCTGACGCGGCGGGCGTATGCACACATGCCACCCGGAGTGCAGAGTGAGCTGGCACGGGATCAATTCATCAGGGCCCTCCTCCCTGCGGACTTGAGGGTCGAGGTACAGCTGCAGCATCCACAGTCCTTGCAGGCGGCTTTGGAGATGGCTGTGGAGAGAGAGAATGTGTGGAGTGTAGCTGCTAGGAGCAGCGGAGGGCCGTTACTACCGGCTGTGAGGAGCTGCAGAGAGGAGGAGAAGCCTGCATGGGTTGCCGAAATGACTGAACTGATAAGGGCTGTGACTCTGCAGTCAACACGCAGGCCAAGTAGCAGGGTCTGCTGGGAGTGTGGTCAGCCAGGACATTTGGCCAGAGACTGCCCCAAGGCACGCCGGTCCCAGGGAAACGACGGGGGGCCCGCATAAAGGGGAAGATGCGGATCCAGGCCCAAAAACCCACCAACCAAACCACAGCCGTATTGCCACCAACACAGACAGCCGAGGAAGGAGCCCGACAGCACAGCCGGGGGAGCCAGGCTCTACTCCTTCCTGAAGAAGATGACAGCACAGGCTTGGAGCCTGTCGTCGCGGTGGGCCGTGCTGGTGGTGGGGATTCCTGTTATGTCCCTGTCACTGTGGAAGGGGTGCCCTGCACTGCGCTGGTGGACACAGGCTCGACAGTGACCCTGGTGAGATCAGATGTGTTGCCCAGTGGGACTCAATTAGAACCGACAGCGGTGCGTCTACGCACAGTCACGGGAGAGCTGGCACCTATGAAAGGAAAAGGCATGCTGACTGTGTCGGTGGGGGGAGTTAAAGTGCAGCATCCGGTGTGGATAGCAGATGTACAGGATCCGTGTATTCTGGGCTTGGACTTTTTGAGGGCGTCTGGTTGCCACCTGGACCTTCAGGCAGGCACAGTGAGTTTCCACGGGGGGCCTGTGATCACTATGACCCGTATCCACACCCCTGCTGAACCGGCTGGGACACACCCCGTGAGTACCCTGGAAACGGAAAATAATCCTCCCTCTTTGCCTTTATCCCCGGTGACGCCCACTCAGGGCAACTCCACACCTGTCGCCCCCGGCCTGTGCCACCCGACCACAGCCCCTCCCCAGTTACCCCAGACTGGGGTGGAAGAGGCTCAGCCGGCAGTATGGGAGGTGTGGAGGAAGAACTGTGGCGGCCTTAATCCCGAGCAGCAAGAGCAATTGTGGCAGCTGCTGCTAGAGTTCCAGGGCAGTTTCGCCATGAGTGAGGGGGAGGTGGGCCGAACTCATCTGGTAGAACACGAGATTGACACAGGGGACTCGCGCCCCATCAAGTGTCGCCCTCGCCGACTTCCCCTGGCTCGTCAGCAGGCTTGTGACGAGGCAGTGCAGAGCATGCTGCAGGCAGACATCATCGAGCCCTCCGACAGCCCGTGGGCAGCACCTGTAGTCATGGTCCCAAAGAAGATAGGTGGCTGGCGGCTGTGCTCAGACTACAGGCCGGTGAACGGGGTCACTAAGAAGGATTCATACCCACTTCCCCGCATCGATGAGTCCCTGGACCTGGTCTCCGGGTCGTCGTGGTTCTCCTCCTTGGACCTCCGCAGTGGGTATTACCAAGTCCCTCTGGCCCCAGAGGCCAGGCCAAAAACTGCTTTCTGCACCGGCCGGGGACTATGGCAGTTCAAGGTCCTCAGTTTTGGGCTTTGTAATGCCCCTGCCACCTTTGTGCGGTTGATGGACAGGGTGCTGTCTGGTATTCCCCGTCAGCAGTGCTTGGTTTACCTGGACGACATCCTGGTGCATGGCGGCTCGTTTGAGGCGGCCCTGGGATCTCTAAGAGTGGTGCTGGAAAGGATCAGAGCCGCTGGCCTGAAGCTACACCCAGAGAAGTGCCATTTCATGCAGAGAGAGGTCACTTTCCTGGGCCACAAAGTGGGGGGCGAAGGCATCGGCACCCTAC